ATTAAAATGTGGTTTGGTAAATGTTCACTGGGATGGGCATCCTTCAAGGAGACAAAAAAAAGTCTAAAAGGGAAGTTGGGGGGAAGAGTCCTAAATCGGACTCCTAGCGGAAAGGTGTCTATGAAGAACCTCATCGCTGTCACTACTCAGTCTTGCTGCTCGCAAATTCAGTGAAAACCAACAGGCCGCAGGAATGGGATATTCTTCAGCTTAGATGTGGCCCTTCAAATCAGTGCTAAAGCAATGGGAACACTTCATTTTTTGTGCTTCTGGTGTATGTCTTCCATGGAAGAAACAATTCTTCAGTAGTGTCAAGTGGGAGCTTTACTCTCCAATCCCTCTCCATCATGCAACTTTTACTGCTGCTATTCAAATCCTTGTTCACTACGGGTCCGATGCAAGGCTCACTGAAATAACAGGAAAAACTCCCGCTGACAGAAGCTGGATGCATCCTGCATCATACCCGAGCCACGTACCCCAACACCACTTGGACCTCTGTGCTGAGGTGTTAATAAGACAAGGTGTACCCATTCCTTCTCATGCAGATGAGCCTGGGGAAGAAAATGAGGGGATCACTCATAATTCCTTCCCTTCCCCAAATGGAACATTTCTAGTTACATTTGAGGCATTTCCATCACCAAATTGGAGCTATCTTGATTAAAATCCTTGTCTTCCAAGTCTTTAAAATTCTTCCCGTATAACATCAGGCCGACAGCACCCACCACTCGAGTCACATGCAGCGTTCAACCACAAATACACCGGCCGGACTGCAGCACAATGATGGCACAACATGACTGCTTTCAGCACCTGTCCACGAAGAGCAACTCACCACTATATTATGGGAAACATGATAATTCCTCCGAGGCCTCGGGCCTGCCAAAGAGCTCTCCTGCCTTTCAGAAAATAAATCGGTTACATCACGTAAGGGTAGGAAAGAACGTAAATGTCAGATCCCCGTTAATTTTGTCATAAACATCTCAAGCAAAAGGGAATCTCTTGGCTGGCAGTTTTGCCCTTTAAAAAGATGGCAATTCCCGATGATAAATAGGAACATGTTTGGCCCAGCAGCGCAGCAAGCAGGTCGCCAAGCACCTGCTGGGAAGTCGAGCACCGCCCTTCGCACCTCTCAAGTGAGAGACTGGAAACTAACGCTGCTCTGTTTCGAAGTCAGCTTTGCCTTCGCTAAGCCTGGGAGTTGAGGCCTGGAGAGGATCCTCCCGAGAAAACCCGGCTTCCCCAGAAGATGCACGCTACTCCTCCGTGCTCCCGGCAGCGGGAAGGCGGTCGGAGCGTCACAACGGCAGAGCTTAGCTCAGCGGATCTCGAGCTTTGTAAGACTCGACGTCTCTCTGGGGAGACGCGAGACACCCCCGAGAGAAGTGAGGCCACCCTAAAGACATGTAGACGTGAAACACTCCCAGACTCAAGACACCCCCAGAGAAATGTGAGACACCCTGACAGAAGTGAGGCTGCCCTAGAGAGACCCAAGGCACCCCTGCTAGGTGCAAGGCCCCCCCCAAAAGAGATGCAAGACACCCTTGAGAGAAGTAAGGCCACCCAAAAGATACCCAAGGCACCCCCAATAGATGTGAGGCCACCCTAGAGAGACCCAAGGGACCCCCGGACAGATTGAAGACACCCACAGAGAGATGTGAGACACCCCTGAGAGAAGGGAGGCCACCCTAGAGAGACCCAAGGCCCCCCTGGATAGACTCAAGACACCCCTAGAGAGATGCAAGATAGCCCCAAAGAGAAGTGAGGCCACCCTAGAGAC